CATGTAACGGAATTAACCCGTAACGTCTCTGTCAATAGAAATGTTACTGAACCAATACACAGAGTCGGTAACCAACATATGCGAGGACTTGGAATGAATCCTTTGAGACTTAAGAGAAACACCATTCCTCGATCATGCAGTAGAGTAACCAGATGGGAGCAGCCTCGTCGCCTTGAAAACCCCCTTTTTGTGTGTGTGTGTGTGCAAAAGTGGAGCTTTTTCAAGAACCAAATAATTTAATTTAAACAACCCCGAAAAAAATAAAGTTTTTGGTATAAATACTGAAAAAAAAAAAAAAACCTAATACAAAGTAATAGGGCGGGGGCTGAAAATTTGACAAGCATGCATACAAGTAACCCGCTTAATGAGAATCCCAATTAGTGCTTACCCCACCTAAGGCTCACAACTGCACAGTTTCTTCATGCCCCTCAACTGTATAAATATTCCAGTTACCCTCCCGATTTTTTACAACGCAGATTCCTTTTAACAACAATGTTAGAGAGAAAGAATATTACGCACCAAACAAATTTGCGAGATTTAGAAAAAAAAAATTTCATTTATAATTATTATGATTATTGTTATTATTGGGTGATTTTTATATAGCGTAGTACGACAGCCTAGGGCTAGGCTCACTAATATAGCGCAATACCCCAGCCTGGAGTGTCTATCACAACACTTGTTCTTTTTCCTTATCATTTACCGAACAAAAATGTGCATGGAAAATTGTACTCGACACGCAAATGTTTCGCCAGAATCAACATGTGAATCAACGTCTGTTCAAGGATACTTGGAGACTCTAACTTAACAAATCAAAGGGCAAAACAAAACACAAGTTTAAAAATATAGTATATGGTACGTAACAACAATGTCCCACACTGAGAGAAATAACCAGACATGATTGATAGAAAGAATGTCAGTTAGACACTAGTGACAGGTGCAAATTGATTATTACGCTTCATCCACTTAACCTAAGCCACTCGCCCCCCCCCACCCCGACACTACAGTCCATGTAGGGCTCAGGCCTGCCTCACTACTTCCTTCCACCGAGACAAAACTGATGCTTTTCTTTTCCCATGCTTTTGATTCCCAGCTGATGTAGATCTTTTTCCCCATCATCCATCCATCTAAGCCTAGGTCTGCCCTTGAGCCGTTTTCCTCTGGGGTTTTGGTATATAGTGCACTTCACTCCTCTGTCATTTTGGCAATCTTTCTAAGCCACGCCAAGCGTAGCCTGCCCTTTTTTTAAATTTCCGCTACTGGCGTGGGATCCTGATTTAGACTATATAATTCATTTTTGGCTGGCATTCCCCATCCATATTTATAAACACAGCCTTAAAGCCTGCACAATTGTCTCAAGAACATTTCTATCCTTATGGAAGACGCTGCCGCCTATTATATTTTTAAAAAAAAAATAATAATAATTTTGTTCGCTTCCCGAAGGATCAAACAACTGAGGGACATACTTTTCAGGATCCACTCCCCAGGTATCCAGGTGCTCCTTGGCACCAAAAGCTGTGACCGAATCCTTTGTAGAACATGTTCCCGTGTGATAGAGGATGTGCTCAGAATCAATGAAAGATTTCATTTAACAGGTCGCAACGTGATTTACACCATCCTTTGTGAGGAGAGCGGGAAATGTTATGTAAGAGGGAAAGGCTGTCGGCTTGGTGACCGTTTTACAGGACAGAAAACACATGCACGACATTAAAAAAAAGACCTTGACCCATTTCAAAACACTTTAACAGCGCTAACCACAAAGCGATATCAGATATTGCATTTACTGGTATATGGTATATTTTCCTGTTTTGTTTTATATTGTAATTCCATCCGATTTCTTTCTATGTTCTTAAGAATAGTTATTTTTCTATGTTTAATTATAACGATCCATCTAAAAATAATTGTTGATGACGTATTGAGATACTTAAAAGATATGTTGAAGTCTACCACTTTTATATTAAGTTAATCTCAATAATAAAATGACGAAACACATAAAATAGTTACAAATAATATCTTCAAAATGAACGTAACGTTTTGTAACAGAGATCCAACATTTTGTTACAGAGATGGAACATTTGTAACAGACATCTAACATTTCGTTTCAAAGATTCAACATTTCATTACAGCGATCCAAAACTTCAATACCACGATCAAACATTTTGTTACAACTATCCAACATTTTTTTGCAATGAGCCAACGTTTCATAACAATCACCCACCATTTCGTTATAATGATCTAACACAGCGGTTCTCAACCTATGGGTCGCGACCTCTTTGGTGGTCACTTACCCTTCCCAGGGGTCGCCTAAGAACATCTAAAAACACATATGCTATACAGTTATGAAGTAGCAACGAAAATAATTTTGTGGCTGGGGGTCGCCACAACATGAGGAACTGTTTTGAAGGGTTGTGGCATTAGGAAGGTTGAGAACCACAGATCTAACATTTCATTGCAACTATCCAAATTTTGATTACAACTCTCCGAAATTTCGTTACAGTCATTCACCATTTTTTTGCACATATCCAACATTTCGTTATAATGATACAACATTTCATAACGATTCCTGGCAGCTGCACTTGAAAATGTTGTCATAGTTCTGATCAGTGTATCAGTTACTCATCACGGGTCGAGATTCAATCTTAATGTTGTGAGAGGAAATACTCACCAAGATGAAAAATAAATAACTGAGGCTAGCTCCACCTGTGTAACCAGCTAACATCCGGGGACTCCGTGACACGCGTCGTGCAGCTAGTCTTACAGGGTACAGGCGCCCCTGTGCGGCTAGTCTTACAGGATACAGACGCCCCTGTGCGGCTAGTCTGACAGGGTACAGACGCCCCTGTGCGGCTAGTCTTACAGGGTACACACGCCCCTGTGCGGCTAGTCTGACAGGGTACAGACGCCCCTGTGCCGCTAGTCTGACAGGGTACAGACGCCCCTGTGCCGCTAGTCTGACAGGGTACAGACGCCCCTGTGCGGCTAGTCTGACAGGGTACAGACGCCCCTGTGCGGCTAGTCTTACAGGGTACAGCCGCCCCTGTTTGGCTAGTCTTACAGGGTACAGACGCCCCTGTGCGGCTAGTCTGACAGGGTACAGACGCCCCTGTGCGGCTAGTCTTACAGGGTACAGACGCCCCTGTGCGGCTAGTCTTACAGGGTACAGACGCCCCTGTGCGGCTAGTCTGACAGGGTACAGACGCCTCTGTTCGGCTAGTCTGACAGGGTACAGACGCCCCTGTGCGGCTAGTCTTACAGGGTACAGGCGCCCCTGTGCGGCTAGTCTGACAGGGTACAGGCGCCCCTGTGCGGCTAGTCTGACAGGGTACAGACGCCCCTGTGCGGCTAGTCTTTCGCAGTATAGTTGACCCTGGTTACGTATATCACACGATTTTTACAACGTAACGAGATGTCTTGTACTCCAGGATGTCACTTCTTGTCTCTCGGTGTGACATGTCACTTCTTGTCTCTCGGTGTTACATGTCACTTCTTGTCTCTCGGTGTTACATGTCACTTCTTGTCTCTCGGTGTTACATGTCACTTCTTGTCTCTCGGTGTTACATGTCACTTCTTGTCTCTCGGTGTTACATGTCACTTCTTGTCTCTCGGTGTTACATGTCACTTCTTGTCTCTCGGTGTTACATGTCACTTCTTGTCTCTCGGTGTTACATGTCACTTCTTGTCTCTCGGTGTTACATGTCACTTCTTGTCTCTCGGTGTTACATGTCACTTCTTGTCTCTCGGTGTTACATGTCACTTCTTGTCTCTCGGTGTTACATGTCACTTCTTGTCTCTCGGTGTTACATGTCACTTCTTGTCTCTCGGTGTTACATGTCACTTCTTGTCTCTCGGTGTTACATGTCACTTCTTGTCTCTCGGTGTTACATGTCACTTCTTGTCTCTCGGTGTTACATGTCACTTCTTGTCTCTCGGTGTGACATGTCACTTCTTGTCTCTCGGTGTTACATGTCACTTCTTGGCTCTCGGTGTTACATGTCACTTCTTGTCTCTCGGTGTGACATGTCACTTCTTGTCTCTCGGTGTTACATGTAGGTTAAGATAATGGTCAAACAATTTTTAAAAAGCTCAGTCTGCCTAGCCTAAAACAGACGATATATCGTTTACGACATACAACGTGCAGAGGTTTAAATCCTTCCCTACATGGAGACTTCAATTATTTCCACCCCTTCCCGTTGCCGTCACACCAAAGTAGTGTCCAAATTTGTATTGCCGTCACACCAAAGTAGTGTCCAGATGTGTATTGCCGTCACACCAAAGTATTGTCCAGATGTGTATTGCCGTCACACAAAGTATTGTCCAGATGTGTATTGCCGTCACACCAAAGTAGTGTCTAGATTTGTATTGCTGTCAGACCAAAGTAGTGTCCAGGTTTTGGAGCACTACGACATAATTAATTTTTGGGGCGTGGGGGGTTAATTTTCATTTTAAAAAAAACCAAATCCCATCTCAAGATAACCATAAAATTGAATGAAGAGCTTCAACATCTACCTTTTTAGAAGTGTATAGTTGTCATTTATAGATGCGCGTAGTAGTCATTTATAGAGACCTATGGTTGTCATTTATAGACACGTATAGTAGCTGTACATGCAATGTCTTTAGGTCCACCTGGTAAAACTATTTAGATTTGTAGTTATGAGTAGGCTTTCCAGGTTTGACTTTATTAGACCCCAGAGCTTCATGGGGGGTTTCCCTCTTATTTTTAACACATACAAAAGTGAGTTCTTCAATCTCTTTTTACTATTAATTAATAAATTTAGAAAAAGTTGGGTTTTTTTAACAGAAAAAATTATTATTTTATTTTAAAATATAAAAAAATAAATAAAACTTATTAACTGTAATTATGGGTAGAATATAAGTTGTTCGCAATGACGTCTCCCGAAGGAATGTTTGTATTTGGCGGTAGGTACGTTAGCTAGATCATTAATTTAACAACAAACACCAACTAAAAAGCAATGACCTGTGGAATGATCAAACAAACCAAAAAAAAAAAATAATAAAAATGTACATTGTGTACTACTACTGACCGGTTTGTGCCTTGCAGCGCTGAGACAAAAAGTGCACACGGGTTTGGGCATCTCCATGGGCTGGTGCCCCCGGATCATGGCCTGGTGCTTGAGGCAGGGCTGTTCCGAGCACTCGGCCCCGACCATCAGCACTGTGCTCAGGTGGGCGATGTAGCTGGCTGCCAGCCGCAGGGTCTCAATTTTGGAAAGTTTGCGGTCCGCGGGTTCTGAAATTGTTAGCAGTGCACTTCGTTAATGTTTTGAAACTGCTAGACTATTTAACACCAGATCCCAAATGGCTCTGAATTAATTAGAACTGCTAGATTGCGTAATTAGAACTGCTAGATTGCTTAACACCAGATCCCAAATGGCTCTGAATTAATTAGAACTGCTAGATTGCTTAATTAGAACTGCTAGATTGCTTAATTAGAACTGCTAGATTGCTTAATTAGAACTGCTAGATTGCTTAATTAGAACTGCTAGATTGCTTAATTAGAACTGCTAGATTGCTTAATTAGAATTGCTAGATTGTTTAATTAGAACTGCTAGATTGTTTAATTAGAACTGCTAGATTGCTTAATTAGAACTGCTAGATTGTTTAATTAGAACTGCTAGATTGCTTAACACCAGATCCCAAATGGCTCTGAATTAATTAGGATGAAGAGACTGAAATCATTTTGTGCCCACGGCTGCACTGTTGTATATCGCATAAGCCATAGGTCCAGCGAGAATCCGAATAATTTCGGTTGATTGATGTCCACATTTAGGCTGAGTTGTGTGATATCTGTGTAGCTGTCCCCGATTAGAAGCACAGGAATGTTATTTCCAAACAAAAAGAAAACGCAGATACTAATTCAATTTAGTCCCATCAGGTGGTTTTAGAGCGTCAAATAGTCGCGCCTCTCAAGCTTTCAGATTAAGATATTTATGTTTTTTATTCTTCAAGGGCGTTCACAAAAGTTTACTTGAGAATAACGTAAAATGTTTGAAATGATCATTTTAATCAATATAATATAATGTAATATATATTTGTGGCAATTTTATTTTTATTCAGTTTTTTATATCCATGTCAGCTTTTTGACTGTCTTGTGATGTAACAGTGATATTTATTGAAAGCGCCCTAGGCTCCAGTATATTTCTTGTGATGTCCCTTTCTCTATAATATTTTACTAGGTCTGCACATGTGTAAATTCAATGCAAAGGTGTCACGAATGACTGGGGCGGGGGTTAACAACAGACCCACATTGTTCTTCAGATAAGTTATGGGGTGGACGGAAATTGCTGTGATTTTGGGGAGGGAGTTGATAGACGCATGGGGTAAGGTTAATAGATTCTCGTGTCTTTAAGATTAGGGGCACGTTTTTTGCAAAATATTATGTCTCGGGCCTTCCAGACTTCGCGTGATAATTTTGGTGTGGACGACGGAAGTTCCAAATTGACCGGAAATGAGGGGTGTATGGATGGGTTAATTGACAGCATTCCTGGACCACCAAGGGAGGTAGAGAATGGTATATAACATAGAACTCCACGTGACATAAGACAGACGGAGAGATTCGTGGACGGTCGTTCTGTTGTAACAGACGTAGTATTACTAGCTGTAGTCAGAGATAGCATTAGGGATAGATAGCGATTTGTTGACAGTTAGAAAAGAGACATTGCAATCTTATTATAGTGATCAATACATCTTTTTACTTATAACTGTTAATGAGGAGTTGTTTAGTCATTCATTCGTGTTCTGTGTTATCTTGGTCGTACTTCTCAACGCCTGGATTAGTGAACCATCACAGAGAGGAACTACGTGGTACATGACCATAAGTGACCATAAGTACGGGCCATATCTCACAATACCATCTCTTCTGTGACAAAATGCTCCAAACAATATGAAATAATTCATTTAATTTATTTTCCCTAAATATTTTGTGATCAATGTAAACATGTGAAAATAGAAAAATTTAAATAGAAATGACAAAACAATTTGACTAATTTTGTATATCAATAAAACAGCACACATAAATATACGATATTGCAATATAAATCTATTACAACCGTTATTTTAAAAATGTATTCTTTATAAACGGATTATTTATACGTGTTCATCTGTGTGTGTGCATTGGTTTCTGTTATTACCGTTATACTTTATTATTATATTACAAATGATAACATTATTATTAAATTTATTATTATAAATGTTATTTCTGTTATGTAATTAACATCACTGTTTCCTTTATAATGAGAAAAAAGATCTCCAAAAAAATCCAAATATTTTAGTTATTCTTTTAATAATAGTATTTAATAGATAATGTTTTGAGAATTAGTTTTTTTTTTGTGCGTACGTGTGTGTGTGTGTGTGTGTGTGTGTGTGCGTGTGTGTGTGTGCGCGCGCGTGTGTGTGTGTGTGTGTTTGTGATAAGAGTCTATTTAATTAACATTTTACTTTCTGGTTCCGTATTGAGATATTACAAATTTTCTAATAAAATCGTTGAAGCTATGACATCGTATTAGTGAAGACGCGGTGTCCTTTTTAAAGTCACAATGTCATCAATTTTTAAATGTGTGGGTGCGTGTGTGGGGGGGTGGGGGATGATTTAGTCACATTAATATGTGTCTTATTTTGAAAGGATTTATCGAGATTGGTTTCCCCTTACACGTGTAATTTTTACTTATGAAAATACGAAAATATTGAAAAGGATTATTAGATCTTGTCTGCTCCGTAGGATGACGTCACACAAGAAATATGATACCTTCAAGGGTGGAACTTTTTATATATATTAAATTCGTGTGGCTGTTAAGCCTTCACAATGAAATCGAATTTTTTACTGAATTTAAAAAAAAAATATCTGCCTTTTCACTCGTTTGGGGTCCGTTACAGTGATAACATAATTATAGATATATACTCAGATTAAAATACATAGATGAAAGCTATTTAAATATGGTTCCTTTAATTTGTTGACTATATACTTTTAGAATTCAAATTATCTGTTATTTAATGAGCTGAGAGGATTGTGTTAAGATAAATTCTGTCTGCATATGAAACGACGGGTTCTGTGGTCTACATTCCTTGTACAGATTTTATTGAATGTATCAACCATTTAACCAATATAATATAAAATGCTACGAGCATTGAAATAAACAATTAATAATCAATTTATTTTAATTTAAATTTAATAAACTTTCTTTTTATATGTTAAAGTTGGTAAATTAACTCTATATTGAAAGTTGCACCTTATTATTACATTTATGAGCAGTGAAATCAAAAATGAATAATATCACATTCCAATGCAGAATGTAGAATAACTGTAACATACCTGTGGGGATTAATGTCCTCAGCGTGACAAATGCCGTGTTCACGCTGTGAGTCCGATCACGTTCGCGTGCGTTGGCCGAGCACCGTGGCTTGGCGCATAGGCCGCTCCCCGACCCCCGGTCGTCCCACATGCTGTCCATCCCGCCAGAACCGTTGCCGTTCATGCTGTCCATGAGTTTGCGGTGTTGGAGCCCTCCTGGAGAATGTCCCGGAGAATGTCCCGGGGATTGCCCCGGCGAATGTGCCGGAGATGTCGTGGAAATGTCTCGGCCGCGGGACTTCAACGGAGGCGATGGGTTCGCGATCCACTTTTGGTGAAACTTGTAGTCTTCAGTTTTGTAGCTCAGCTCACAAGAAATGTTCGCCAACCTGCTGTCCTGGTCGGGGAACATTAACTTGCTGTTGTGTGGTCTGTTAATTATGTTGTCTGGTATGTTGATGCTGGACTTGGATCGCTTCCTACATGTCTGTTGTAATAATTGGCCACACCTGTCGTCCATGAGTCTCCACACTTGAAATTGTAATTTTTTTTTTTTAATCACCAACCACGCACGCCCTATCTATACACGGCTAGCTACACACACTCATGATATATATAGGCAGAGCTACACACACCTGATGTGTTAATGGCTAGCTACACACACATGATGTGTCAATGAGTATCTAACACACCTGATGTATGTCACGGATATTAATCCAAAATCACTCTTCGCATAAATATATGATGTTGAAAGTCAGTTTCATCCACGATTTTGTTCAACAATTGGAATGTTGCGATCCATCTTGTCCCGCCGTTAGGAAGAGAGAACTGAAGAAATGACATCAAAACAAGTCGTTAAATGTGTGTTTAAACTCAGCAATATCTTTTTTTTTTTTTTTCTTTAAACGTTACACACACTTTATCCCAATCCAGGAGCATGTCAGACCTGGGTCTATGACAATATCATGGGAAACAAACGATGCTGGCCAGAGTTATACCCTCCCCCCCCCGTCATGCCTCTCATGGCCGACCACTGCCAATCAATGCCAAACACGTAAATGCCAACGCATCAACTTCACACTGCGCAGCAATCAACTTGACCGCTGGGCAGTAGCTGGCCTATCAAGAGGGCAGTTCAGCTTCGTTAAAGGGGAGCGCACTCCAAAACCACGTAACCCCTGAGCCCCCACCCCCCCCCCCCCCCCCGGTGAGCAGGCCACGGGCCGACCGGTTGTATAATAGTCAGAAGAACGTGCCTCTCTTTGTTGCGTCAGGCATGACATAGCGTTCTCTTAGCGGCCATTCAGACAATACATGATCTTTTCTGTGCTGGTGTTTCATGCTGTGATACATTGAACACAAACTATCGCTCTTCAGATGTTAAGTTGGACAGAGATTCCTATTATTAAGTTTGGCGGACCAGTGGACCAGCGAACCAGGGGAAAAGTTTGAAAAAATGAACCAGGGGACGTTGCCATATTCATTTTTTATATTATCTTTACTTGACCATAAATATTTATGTTGTGGGGGACAGCCAACGTAAGGCTCGCTGACCGGTAACGTAAGGCTCGCTGACCGGTGCCCAGTGTTTCTTTCAGACAATTTTCTCCAAGGGGGGCGGGGGGAGTGGACCATTTCAGAACTTCTGCTGGGCACTGCCATGGGCAGGAGATAAGGGGGTCAGAGGAGGCACTCAAAATGGACTTGGATGGTATTTAAAGAATGAAAATAATGGGTTTCGGAGTTGAGGGGGGTGGGGGCGCCGAACACTCAGGCTACGCCTCTACCAGTGGCGTAGTAAGGGGGCGGATGGGATGTTCCGCCAAGGTGTCCCGTTTTTTTTTGTTTTGTTTTTTTTACTTTTTTTTTTTTTTTTTTTAGCTTTTTTCTGGTTTCCTCTTTAAAGAAATGTGTTACAAAGAAAAGTATTACAAAGAAATGTGTTTTTTTTTTTTTTTTTTTTTTTTTTTTTTTTTTTTTTTTTTTAGCTTTCTTCTGGATTCCTCTCTAAAGAAATGTGTTACAAAGAAAAGTATTACAAAGAAATGTGTTACAAAGAAAAGTATTACAATTTTAAGAAATGCTTGCTAATAGGCCAGGCGGATTGTTAAAATTAAAAGGAGGAAAGTAGTCAGGGCATTAATAAATACAAGGTACGTTTTTAAAAAAAAAAAAAATTGTATCCAAGAAACTGTGTTACAAATGTAGCGCATTAAAAAAAAATATAAACGCTTCCTATTCAGTAATACTTGAGGAAACATGCACTATTGATGCGCACCCGTTATTTCAATTTGTTTCTTCTATTTTTAGAAAATCAAATTTTTAAACATTTTTTAAAGTTCAACATGGGTTCGATTACATTTGAAATGATGCTAATGGATTCGATTACATTTAAAATTATGCTAATGGATTCGATTACATTTAACATGATGCTAATGGGTTCGATTATATTTACAATGATGCTAATGGGTTCGATTACATTTAAATGATGCTAATGGATTCGATTACCTTTAAAATGATGCTAACAGCATTTTTTTTTAAAGCATGACGCTATCATACAATTTGTAATGAACACCCATCCCTACTGCCTTACTGTGAACGTCATGCTTTAAACGGTTTTATTTATTTATTTATTTAGGCATTTTTTGTATAGCGCATACCTTACAGCTCTGAGCGCTTTACAATTATTCAAAATATATAAGCTTTTCAAACTGATAAAGTAAAATAAAAATGAAAAACCAGAGACACTAGAATAGTAACTACAACGTGAAAAGTGACTATAGAAACAGTAGCTTAAACATTAAAATGGCTATAAAAACGAGTGCACTTTGGCACGTTTTGGCCTTCAGGATCAACCCGAGACAGACAATGAGGCATGGGCAAGGAGGGTGCATCACAGGTCATAGGCGGACCTAAACAGATGGGTTTTAAGGGACTTTTTGAAAGTGGACGCGGTTTCACAATGACGGATTTGTACTTAGTGAGAACTCTATTAAAAATTGTTGGCCTTTATACTGATATAAAAGTGGATCAGCTACAGTGGTACTAAAGTCTTTCAACTTGGGAAGTTGAAAAAAAAATTTTTTTAATCAAAAATAAATAAAAATACCGATTAGTGCCAACGACAGAAAGTCAGACTTCGACTTTTAATCAGGAGAGGCCGATTTTCGGAAGAGTTCGATATTTGTAATCGAATAGTGTAAGCCTCTAACAAAATTAGCCTCAATTATGTAAACGAATCATCATATATATCGGATGTAGCGATATTTCACAGGTTCCACGAACTGTAATTGGTCACATGTACCATTTACTATTCTTTTAAAATATGTTTAAAAATGCCATTGGGACCTGGGTCCGAATAGCGGCGATGTGTTTCCAGTTCCATTTTGACTCAATGCTATTCGGATGTCATTTGTGGTCGTTTATTTTAGTTAAACTTAAAAAAAGCAAGTTTACAAATAAATAGTCCATTCAAATATCTTTCTTTTGATACCAAAATGTATCTTACAAACCCCTACAATAATTTTTAAATATTTTTTTTTTAATAATCCTAAACTCTAACTTCTCGGACACGGGTCCGAATAGGCACATCCTTAAAAATACTAAACTGTTTACCTCATTCTTTGGTATCGCTAAAACCCCATGACCAAATTGAACACTGATAATGGTGCCTTGACTTCGCGGCATTCAGTGTCCTGTCACTTAATCTTTACTGAGTTATTATTGTTGTTTACTAACTAATTTCGTTTTTCTTACATTTACGCAATGAGAACGAAACATGAATAAATGAATGAATGAATGAATGAATGAATGAATTGAATATATATGTAGCGCTTGTATCCATGCTACTATAGCAATGCTCACAGCGCTCTGACGTTCTCAAATCTATTTTAAACAAAAAATTCAATAGAATCAACGTGTTTAATTTGAGAAAAGTAAAATAAAATTTGACACAAAATAAAACGCCAAAAAAAAAAAAAAAAAAAAAAAAATAAAAAAAAAAATAAAATAAAAAATAATATAACAAAAAATTTTAAAAAAAAAATTCAATAGAAAAAAAGTTTTTAATTTGAAAAAAAAAAAAAAAAATTTAACAAAAAATAAAACGCCAAAAAAAAAAAAAAAAAAAAAATAAATAATAATAGTAATAAAATAAAACATAATTGAGCAAAACAGCCTAATTTCTCGTTAACAATGAAAGCAACAGACAGACGGCACGGAGCTGATTTTTATATAAAATAGAAAGTCATTTTGTACTTGTAACTTAAGCCGTCGGGCAAGCGGAATATTTTTAAAACATGTAACATGTGCAGCACCTTTAAGAGCTTCTTAACCAACATATTGGTTTTCTCAACTGATTTCCTGTCAATGTATTTACAAATACGTCATTAGAAATGAATAAATAATGGAACACGACATGATCAGGCGTGTAAATATACGACCAGTCAATGAAGCAGCCGTTCCGGTTGGATATCCTGTTCCACTATTTTATTTACTTTACATGGCTAGAGCGGAGTCTTTCATTGATGATCCCTGAATAAATAACGAAATGTTCGAACCATTTTTGCAAGCTTAATTTCTTAAGGAAATTGTTTCAATTTTAGTTCTACACCTCAAATCATTTCAGGTTTTTTCAAAAGGGGGTGGGGGTGGAGGGGGGGTGGTGGTGCAAAACTGAAACTTGGTCGGCTAGTTAAGTTGTTTATGAATCGAGGTGTCTCAGTACATAGCTATATAAATAAAACCTTTTGTTAACTACCACTAAACTTTTGTTAACTACCACTAAACTTTTGTTAACTACCACTAAACTTTTGTTAACTACCACAAAACTTGTGTTAACTACCACTAAACTTTTGTTAACTACCACTAAATTTGTGTTAACTACTATTAAACTTTTGTTAACTACCACTAAATGTGTGTTAACTACCACTAAACTTATGTTAACTGCAAACGTTTGTAAAATACCACTAAAGGTTTGTAAAATACCACTAAAGGTTTGTAAAATACCACTAAAGGTTTGTAAAATACCACTAAAGGTTTGTAAGATACCACTAAAGGTTTGTAAAATACCACTAAAGGTTTGTAAAATACCACTAAAGGTTTGTAAAA